ACTGGAACTCCATAAAACATCTCTGGCCCCCTGGGTACATCTCCAGTCACAGATGGTGGAGTAAACGACAGTGACGATGATGAAGGCGATGGCTACAGAGGCGGCAGGGGGGGGGCGAAGTAGCGGGTTGAGCATTATTCGAGACGCTCCGTGAACAACGGTAAAACCAGGCAGGAACCTCGCCTTTCGCCTGTGTCATATGGAGTCTCCCGAACTGTGCCACCTGGAGGTCCTCGAAGATTGCGGTGGTGTCAACCTTTGACAACCTCCTGGAGATGCAGCACACCGGGGGGGGGGGGGGCTCATTTGACAGAAGTCTTAGCGGCCAAGGAACCGTTGCTCAATTACGAAACGATAGGAGGATAATTCGCCGAAATGGACACAATTGTATTTTGATGTTAATGAGAAAAAAAGGTAATGGGAGGGGGAGGGTCCTACATGTAGGACGAAATGAAAAGGTAAAATTACACTAAGCATTTACATAATATTAATAACGTGCGTGACTGTGAGCATTCGCTATGGTTGTATATTCCAATTACGTATGAAGTATAATTATTTTCAACTGTATGAACGGGGCGTGGAAACGGGGGAAAACCACCAAGAATATTAGCTAAATCATCATTTATTGTTTGGCAACTTACCGCGAAATATAAAAATCAGTGCTCTGTATTTGATCGTCAACGCCCCGTTAGATATATGACAAGAAAAACGAGATAAGGTATTGTATATTTCTTTAATGTTATATATTCAAAAATACCACAAAGTTAGCTAGATCAAAAATATTCAATAACGAGCGAAATGATACAATAACGCACACATTGCTTGGAATAGGATGTGATATTTTAGTATTAAATTCAAGACATTCGGCGGGATAGAATTATGAGGAAAGGGGGCGAATGACTTCTACCGTAACCACTTTTAACAAAACTAACCCAAGCGCTACTACTCTACTACTGCACAGTACATTGCTACGGTAAGGTCAAAAAGATCCCCACTTCATTCTTAGCCCACGTTGACAAGGATTACTAATAATCCACTGCTTATCATTAAGTACTATTAACATGAGCCTGTCACCTTTCCTTAGGAACAGTCAAATACGAACACAAATTACAATACAGAATTTTTTACAAATCAGATAAAACGTTGAGCGATGTTCGTATTGAAATAAGATGCCAAACGAGACTTATTTCGCAAATAATATTTTTTATATATTACCGCCGCCCACCGGCCGCCGCAGAAGCAACCGAAAGTTCACTTGAGCGCATTCGCGCTCGCGCGACCTACAAACATGGATCCGAACCGCTTTTTCCCCTCCCGACCGACCGGCACGCTGGCAAGCAGGCTTCGCATCGTGCGGCGCAGCGCTGCCCTGTCAGGGAAGATTTCTAGAAGATTTCTCGCCGCAGTTGATAAACGCCGGCGATGACACAGCGCGAAGCCCGGCAAGGGAAAGCCCGGCAAGGACGTTCGGCCGCGCGACAAGTGCCCCCCCCCTCCTCCTCCTCTGCGCAAAGGCCTATTTTGAGATTTCCGTCTCGGAGCCCATTCCCTAATCTCCTAGGGCATCAAAGCGACTTCGTGGTTAGCCCCCTGTGACGAACTAGCAACGACACATTCACTTCCATCAGTGCCGAAGCACAGACCCCAAGGGTTCGAAGACAGTTCAGAGTCGGACGCCACATACGGAAATTTACAAAAAATTATTTTATTTTTTATCCATTTAAAGTGCTTCGACGCTAGAAAAAGCACGACTCCAATTACACCTTTTTGACCTATAATTTTTACTTTTCTTATTACAAATACAATAGCACACGATGAATGTTTTTATTTTTTATACGACTATTCTCTAAAATATTTACGACGCTACGTTAGAAAATGGCACAGAACGCAGGCATGTGCGATGAGAAAGGCACCAAAAACAAAACAGAACGAGAACAAGTCTTCAATTATCAAATGGTCTTATTTTATATTGCGAAATATAAGCAAAACTGACATTTTCCGTCTTCTTAGTTCACCATATCTAAACCGGAACTGGCCCCACTACCCATGGATCAAAAGCAAATAACAGCCTCGATGTTCCTGTGTAACTGTTATGGTTTTGATTATTTTTTGTTTTGTTCGTTTACCTAGTGGTCCAAAACTTATGAAAATCGCCTATTTCTCATATCCGCAATAAATTCTGCTTTAAGAAACGCATATTATGTTTAACCTACCAGAGTACTGACTACATATATACCAGTACCTACTACGCGAGGATACTATGAATCCGAGATGTGACGTAAGAGAATAATAGCCATGTGTGTATGTTCGCTTGCTAATGTCGAATCAATCTCAAAATCACTAGCGATGCAATGGATGGCAACATTAGAGAAAGGGTAATGTCTAGGATAAGAGCCACGGGTATAACAGAGTCGTAGCCACAACCCAAGCTGAAGTTTTGTTCAAGGAACAAGAGAGTTCCCATTTTGTCCCCTCTTTTGTTCAAGGAACAAGAGAGTGGCTACATTTTTTAGCATTATTCGCCTGATCGATGGACGATCAAATTAACATGAAAGTTTTCAAAAGCCTTTAAGCTAAAGTACTTACTACCATTAGTAGAATAAAAACAGTACCGACAGACGATGAAGAAAATCGTTAAATGTCCAGTTTACATGTTTAATTCAATGATGTAGGCTTCCGCGGCCAGAGTCATGATCTGGGCTGTCCGGGTGACGTCGCGTCGATGGCTGATGTGCCGACGTTTCGACCGACATGTCGCGGTCCTCTTCAGGGGCTGTACTGCGCAAGGACTCCTTCGGTGGCGCGGCGTCACCCGGACAGCCCAGATCATGTTTAATTCAAGCTCTGACATGATATTGTCTCACGACAGTCAGAAAACACGAAACGAAAGTGTTTGTAAGAATTTCTTAAATTACTTTCTGATGACAATGGTGCCTTCTGACGTTCGTGGTTAGAACGTGGTTACCTGCGTGGTGAGAACGACTTAGCACACGGGGGAAAACGAGATATATTTTAACGACAAGAAGAGAATTTTCCCTCATGCTACCTCTTGCTCTCTATGTAAATACCAGAACTAGTGAGAGCTTGCTCACACGTGAGTTTGCCGGTCACAAAGAGTTCGCCATATGCTCTGGTCACAAAGACAGACGACTTCAAGCATTAATTAATTCCTGACCAATTTATTTTGCAAACTTTTAGTAGTGGCTCCACGCATCAGAACGAGCCCCAAATGACAAACAGCGAGTTTCATTACGATAACAGTTCGAAAAATTTTTGATATCAATAATGAAATACGATTAATTTAAAATTCTATAAAGAACTGGCCCGGCAGGGCATAATATTAAATGCATGCAATAATGCATTCCGCCATAGCCAACACCATTGTTTGAAATTTCACTCAATGTATTTATAACAATACCAGATTGATTGGATAGCATCCGAAGTTGTTTTTTTTTTTCCTATTATACACACGTTTGTATTTAAAATAATTCTTAAAATTGTCTTTTTATTATTTAAAAAATGTTAGTTCCCACCCGAATGGCTTTATACATTCCCTAGGATTTTTCGTACATGAATTGTAATGACAAAATAAACAATTGTATTCTACTTGAATCGTCTCGTCAAAAAGTACGGGGAATGGAGTCGTCTCTAAATGGAATTCTTAGCAAGTTACATTGTAAAAACAACCCGTTAATTGAACTTTAAAAGTCATCAAGTTTGCAGTTGAGTGCGAGAAGTTGTCCATTAATTGATATTTGTTGTTACTTTCATTTTTCCACATAATTATTATTCAATGTATTTTCGAATCCGAAATTTAAAGAACGTTGAATTAATAATTACCGCTAGCTTAAGAGCATGCCACGGTTTTGGTCACTGAATTTCCATTCACACTTTACGATAATTACGAGCAATGCGACATCAACAGAACGACATCTCAACCACCCTCCTGGGGTATGGTAACAACCTTAAGTCAAACCCTACACTTAAACTCAGGAATAGCAACTTTATATACAAAGCTCACAGCAGAGAATATATACTTCAAATGACTTTGTGAATGGTTAGACAGATCCTGGTTACAGTAGTATTTATTTCATTTTGTCATTTTTTTACTAGAAAGAAATTCTTGAACGCTGACAGGATGGTGTCGGAAGCTTGACAGACATACACCTACACTATCACGAAGCTTGTCCACGACTTATTCTCAAAATACGGAAACTACTTTTTCAGGCAACGCATGGAAGCGTCATACGTCACTCATCGGCCGGCAGCGTGGTGGTCCACGTGTCTTCGGACACTGACAGTGACGCCTGCCCGCCCGCTCGCGGCCAAACACGCGCACACGCACTCGTCGCAGCCTCCCGATACGCTCCCGCACAGGCCTGACCCGCATCACGAGACGCACACAGCGATCACAACACCTGCAGCTGTCGTCTCCCTGGTAACGGAGGGCCCTTGCTCTCTCACGCAAGCTCCCGGCCGTCGCACGTCACAAGCTGTCACACAGATTTCGCCCCGACGCCTACCCTCCTACGAGATCGCGTCATCCAGTGGAACTAGGGTACAGTTCGTTTCGGAACAGAATAAGGTTTCTGCCACACGCCTGAACTGGCTCTATTGATCTGATAATTGTAATCACTTTGATAGAAAAGGTCCTGATGGAACAGACAATAGGAGTAACCTATTCAAATCTCTATCAACTGTGAATCGCAATTTGAAAGCGAGTATTTCACCATCAGACACTACTAAGATCTTATTAAAGGCTTCTGATACACATTTCAATTTGTACGTGTCTATAAACTTTTTATCACACCATGCAAATGATAAAAATTTCAGATATTTATACACAACTTGGAATAATCTTGAAATGACAATAACACATCACATCCGGAAATCTCAAAACATATGATCTGAGTTTTACAATTATGATCTTCCAATCGTGTTCGTTTAGAATATTAGAAAGTTAAAACACGTAATAAAATAAAAGAAATTCACGCACTTACCTCATTATAAATAAAACCATTGCACAGAAACATATTAAAACCGCCAACACCGAAAAAATATTTGACAGTTCTGCGACAGACACGAGCATTGCGGTCATTGCAACCATCATACTGTTCAAATCAACTTGATATCATTTAAATTCGCGATGTACAACTTAGCACACGAGACACACGGATCCACGCGCAACACGTATTTTCTTGGCCATCGCGAAGCCAACTGACCGATGTGAAAGTGCTCCACGGTGTGCACCAGGTTATCGAGGAACACAGCGACCTGTCTGTCTCGGGTAAACACTGGCGTGTGCGCCATCTGGTAACTAAACGTCACAACTTCTGCAACGTGGAGATGTCGAAGTGCCAACATAAACTAACACTTGGTTGTAATATTGTTTTCACATTTTGCGGATTGTGATATCTGAAAAATGAAATAAGTGTTGTATATACATTCATTGTTCATGATATGCCCCATTTACTACAATTCAGAGAAGTGTACTGACGTATAAATACCTTCTTAATTTTACGAGGGCACACGAGAGTTGGTCAAACGTTCTCACTAAAACAACTTCCACTCATGCGATTACAATTTCGTTCAATAATTATTGTCTGCATAGTTATATTATGTAACAATACAAGTCAATCCTGTGACAGTATTCACGAAAGCAATTGTCATGAACTGAGGAAAGATTCGAATAGTGAGATAAAGTTTTCGAAGTTTGAACAAATTTACATGCAAAAGGAATGTTCTAATTCAGAACTCGTCGTTTTAGAAAAAGAATCGCCCACACACTCAGACGAACAATTAGAAAATACTGCAACAATGGCTTCACGTGAAATTATTCATGTTGAATTTGAGGTTTATGGGAAGGTCCAAGGTAAAGACGTAATACCCATAAGAAGCTATAAGTTGTCGTAATTATTCTAGCAAAATATATCAAAATAAATAATTATTTTGTTTCAGGAGTATTTTTTAGAAAGGTGAGTACACTTTCTGTGTTTTGTTTAACATTGTATTTTCGACATTATTCAAGCATCAGAATGGTTATCATTGAATATTCACACAAAAGCAGGGATGCAGCATGAATTGTCAATGTGTTAAGCGTCAGAAACAACAATGTATATTTATCCATTTATCCCTTTTTCTCAATTAGGCCAGCAGTGAACAGTGTGAACAGCTAATGCATGTCCACACAGCATGCACTTAGCTATTGAAGTTCAAGGGACAGAATGGATTTAATATTTCCATTTGTTTAAAGGGGATTGTAGTTCCCAGAATACACAGACACACAAACACCAATCAGTGCCTAAGGTGCGACTCAAAAACACAGCCCTTTAGTGCGAGATGCTAAAATCCCTTCTTGATTTGTCTTGGCTGGCTACATTACCCACAAAGGTGATTATGGAATAATGAATTATTTTATTTCCAGAATACTGTAGATCAAGCTTCAAAACTTAAACTTAAAGGCTGGTGTATGAACACTCCAAATGGTACGGTGAAAGGTGCTATGGAAGGAGATGCTGCCAGTATTCGAGAAATGTGAGTTGCAGTAACTTACTCTGACCTTTATGAAAAAGAAAAGCTTGTGATGAAGAAATTAGTAGTAAACATGAAGTTTTTTGTTGTGAGCATATTCTGCTGTTAAAAACATTTAGAAATTCTGATCACACTATCGTGTTCTGTACTGCATAGTATTTAGTAGTTTGATGTAGTGAAATAAAATTGATCAATTCTATTTCTGCAAGTATTTCAAAATGTATATATCAGACAGTGGCAATTTTAGACTGATATACAATATATTAGTGAGAATAAAAGTATGGAGCAGACTTGGCTTATAAAAATAAAAGTTAAGCTGTCTGCAACTGTGTAGTTTTTTATATTTACTTTTTATTGATGAATTTCATCTTACCTTAACTATTGTACAATTTAGATGACACATAAAAAATATTAGAGCTTGTAATTTAATAAACATTTACTTTTTCAGGAAACACTGGCTCGCAAATGTTGGAAGCAAAATGTCTCGCATTGATAAAGCTGAATTTAGAAATGAAAAATCTATTACAACTTTTACTTTCCCTAACTTCAGTGTGCGTCATTGAAATTATACTTTTCAAGAACCAGTTTCCTGACCTCTACATTGTGATACTCATATAGCATTGGTTGAAAAAATGGATTGGAACAAAATGGCAAAAACGTGTCATGGATATTACATACACACGTGTATTACTTATGCTAGTCAATTCAATTATTTTTTTCTTAAATAAAATGCAAATTGTTGTTATTCTAAGATTTCTTCAGTTTAGTAATCCATTATGATTTTTTCCCTTGTAACGTTTTAAGAGATAACATTGAGATTTGAGATGTGCCTTCCAAAATCCACTTTGATTGCTGAATTTCATTAGATTTCAAAAATAAAACTAAGATAATTGTTTTCAAATTATTTGTATTAAAAATGCACAAATAAATCATTTCAATGATACATTCTCTAATGTTTTTTTATATTGCTCTCCAAAGTAACTCAAATGAATTTCCAGGTACATAGAATTACACGAACTCAGAGGCAAATTATTATGTTTCTGAGCTCTCCAATATTTATAAATAGTGAATTAGTGTTAAAATATGCAATGTCTGTACAATAATATATTTGTTTTTTAACAAACTCCCCTAACCAAGTATTTGATTTTATTTATTTAGTCAATAAACAGTAAAAACTGCATGTGACACATGGGGGAAAGGATCTGCCCAAGTTTTCTTGAGCTCCAGAATGCCTTCCCAAAATCTTAACTATAAATAATTGAAAGGTGATTAAAAGTTTAAAGAAAAACAAATAACTTTTTTTAGAAAAATTTGAAAAACTTTTAACTTTTGTTCCCAAGTAATAAAAAACTTAATTGCATCTGTAAACAAACTGCAGAATTGATTTTGCTTCATTGCTAACAATACAGTAATTCACCCCCAGTTCTACTTCTACCGTTACAAACAAAAGGAGAGCTCAACATAACATGTGCATAGAGAAGCTACATTTATGTCCAGAAGCAAAACAAGAGGCCATCTCAGCATTTGCTCAATGGATCAGGGAAACTGGAAAAAAACTTATCAAGATGGTGGTTATTGACCAACAAGCTGAAGTACATTACTTGTTAAGAGTATACTAAGTTGTTTTTTTAATTTTACAATACAAGTGTAAACTAATACATTGTATATCATTTGGATTTTGTTAAAATAAACATTATTTTTCTTTTTGATGATAAGTGTAGTATAATTGTATTGAAACAGTTATTCACTAGAAAAGATTTTAATTTTAACTTAAATTTGTGTAAGAATTTTAATTGTTAATGTCATGAGGCAATGCATTGTAAAGTAACATACATGTATCGTATGTGGATTTATTCTAGTGAGCTGTTAATACTGTCATTTGATTTCTATGATGTGTGATGTAATTATAAATATCAGTATTGCATGAAAATATATTCCCACCATTAAGTAAGTCACTTTTGACAAAAATTACAGATTCCTAAATAAATAGGCAAGGCAATGGTAAGATTCCAAGCTCAATGAAGAGAGGCTTGCAGAGATCACTTGGACGGCATTTTTTCATTATTCAAATAATTTTATTTTACAAACTGAAGGTATGGGTACTACGGGATGAGCTTCCCCATAATATTATGCCATATCTCAGACCAGAATGCACACTTGGATAATACATGCAACAAGCAACATGCAACATGGAAAATCTTATTAGTGAATTATAATTTTAATTATGTTCAAAATCAATTAAAATTTTAACTATTTTAATGAATCATCATGTTATTTACATTAAATTATCAAATTAATTCCTATGACAAAAATTCATCATCAAATGTCCCGATCTTCCAAATCGTAAATAAAAATAAGCACAATGCATTATTTTGGGAATATTTCAATAAACAAAATGACATAGTTAACTTTACCATACTATTCTTATGGATGACATTGTGTTATTAAGTAACATCTGTTTGGCATTTTCTTAAATTTCATTCTAAAGCAATTGACATGAGACTTTCAGAGTATAAGGACTCACTGGATTTCAGTAAAAATAATAGTTGCCGTGCTTGAGAAATGGGTGTATGGATATTTTCCCAAAGAGCCAGTTAAAGTTTAAATGTATATTAAAAATATTAGAATAATTGTGATTTACTTTTTAAATTTTTTTATGAGTTTATATTGATGAATTCTTTACACCATAAATTAGATTCCTAATGTAAACATTAAGGATAGAACAAAAGAAGGGAAAAACACTTTTTCAATCTTTGCAAATTCAAAAGTCGTAACAAAGATGGCACTTACAATAGGTATTAGAAGTACTGGACATCTCACTGCACAATAAAGATAAAAGTATTTTTTAGAAAATTTACTGTACTATTGAGCTTGTGTTGTTAAGTACTTCCCAAACTCTGTGGATTCCACTAAATCATGCATTTCTTACCGGTGAGGCAATCTATTTTCCAAAATTTCAAATGTAGGTTTTAGAAATTAGCTTTGTACGTGTATGGATAGCAACAGTAGAATTTTGCACTTAGTTTTTTTAAATGGCAATTTGAAAACAAGGCTAGAGCATTATAAAAATTATGATTTAGCATTTTGTAGGATTTGTTGAGAAAATTATTAAGGGATGACGGTGAAACAAACGAATATTTTTAGATTTTCCCATTCACTCTTGGATGCAGCCCTTTTGTTTGGCCTGAGGGATGCCCCCACGTTCATGTTTAACTATATTATCAACAAATTTAATTGTTTTATCAGCCAGATAACATTTTTATTCTCGCTGATGGCTCTTGCTTTTTCATAACAGCTGTGAATTGTTTCTCCCAACTAAATTCTGTGACTTAACCACGCCACAATTTTATTTCAAAATTATTTATGTACCCAAATATAATGCCTCCAATGGAAGGCAAACAATCATATCCATACTTAGATTTTTTAAAGTTGCCAATGACATTAGGTTATTGTTACACCTTCTGCCTTTTAAAATAAATTCACAAATGTCCTTTTTAACAGGGCTCATGGACTCAGAAATGTGCTTACTACTGTTAAAAAGATTAATTTTATAAGGCAAAAGGTGTAACAATGACCTAGTCATTGGTCAATTTAAAAAAATAAAAGTATAATTTTAAGGAAATAAGTTTAATGCATAGAAGTATGGATCCACTGTTTCTAAGAAAATGCCAGAATCAAGTTCACACTGACAACTAATTTTCTATGTAGAGAACGCTCTCTTTCTCTGTCCAAACATCCAATAATTTTCAGGTGGAAAATTTAAAGTGCAACAAAAAAATGTGGCCAAAAGTCACATCAGTTTTTAACTTTGTTCAGTAATCCAAAATTATTTTCAGGCTATGGAATCAACAATATCCTCCAAGGTACAAGGACTTTATTGATGTCAAATTAATTAATGCTCCACACTTATACTATGGAGAAGAATTTTGATCAAAATTCTAAGGCAAAAACTGTGCAATTAGAGACATCAATTGCCAGTAACCATGCAACCAATTTCAGAGATGATCCGGGAATGACGGGTCTTGGCTAAACGTGGAGTTAGACACGTTGAATGGATCATGGATTGCTCGAACACCAGCACGAGCGTCATGATTGCTGTAGCTGCAGATGGAATCGTACTCCCTCCATATGTAGTGTATAAAAATTCTTGTACCCTGGATGGTGTAATGACAGGGTGCAAGGATTAGGATAAATCGCAATTCAAGTGGCTGGTTTAATTTAAATATGTTCAGTAATTGGTTTCATCAGATTCTCCTTTCTTACGCAAAGAAAAAGGATGGGCGTTAAGTTATTATTCGTGACAACTGATCATATCTCTCCATCGATGTGATTCGCTCCTGCGAAGAGAATACTATTAGCTTTGTACTCCCAATTCAACGCAACACCTGGATCTAGCATTACCCTTTCTGCACGACGCAAAGTTTTACAATTCTGGAAAAAGAAAAATATATGGGCTCTTCCAAAGATTGAATTTCCTCGCATGCTGAGATTAGCATTTGAGGAAATTGGAATTAATTCCAAAGATTTCGAGATTAATTCCGAAATATATACAGTATATGAAATTCTTGGTTTACATTGCCGAGCGACACCAAATGGATACCGCAATAAATCTTACATCGGTAAGATGGTTTCAATGGATATAAATGAAATTCTCGTTCGTTTCTTGTGAAAGAATGTCGTCAAAGGGATTTATTTTGTGTATCCATCTATATTTGATCAACCCATAGAGATATTGTGATTAAATTGCGCGCTAGGGCTATAATGAGAAGCTGAAGGTTTCAATTAATTTGTACTTAATTGAACTACCTACTTGTTCCTAATTGAATAACAGGCAAAAGTTGTTTAATCCATGTTCTTTTAATTTTTTCCAGGTTCTTTGTGCTTTATAAATTAAATTATACATAAATTGCATCAGATTTTTTTAAATACTGAATAACTGATCGATTTTACCATTCTTATGCTCTACAGTTGATCGGACGTTGACGTTGCTCTACAGTTGATCAAAGTTACCCAACCTAAGCGGGTAACTTCAATGAAATTGTAAAAAAGTATTCAGGATCTTTTTCTTTTGCAAAGCATTTACATAAGGGTGGAACTATAAAATACGCAAAACGTCATACACTTTCGCCGATAATATATCCTCGAAATAAAGAAGTTATTGAAAATTTAATCGACCTTAGCCTTGTCACTACTTAATATCGAATTTTAATTTATAAAATAATAATAATATGCATAAATGAAAATAAAAGTAAAAGATTCTCGGTGTGATTTCTAATTACTTTAATGCATTTTGATCTGTGTTTTAATTGCTTCAGCTCTTCTAAATTTCATATATTAATTGAAAGCCAATCATACTATGTAAAGAAATTGAAGAATTTGCAGTTGCTCACATATTTCTTAAACAAGTATCTCATGATCAGTAAATATCTGTGATCAATTTTCACAAGAGTTTTGGATTTTCAATATTGTCAACTAGTGATTATGTAGGATAAAAACTAGAAACTACTGAATAACTCTAATGTGTTGTAGATGGAGCTATTTGATGCAGCCATTGCAAACTGGCAAATACATATAGCCTGTGGGAGAATGTCAGTTCTACATCACAAAATTTACATTAAAAAATTATAAAAATATTGAGATCCAAGGATGGGAATCCTGAAAAAGGAAATTCTTTTGCCATCTATGCACGATAGACAGTGGTTAAAATCAAAGAGTACTAAACATAGTACTATAGTACAGTACTCCGTGGTTAAAATAATAATAAAAATTAGAAATAAAAATATAGTAAACCTTTCTTTATCAAATCCTATTTGTGGATTTTGATTACCTCAAAACCCACCCTGTGGACCCTCATAGCCATTCAACTTCAATTTTTTTTCACAAAATTTGTTTGTTTTGAAGATTGAACCTTTTTAATGTTCCATTTTAAGAGAGAAATGTGTTGACTACATTTGATGTTTTGATGAACAATGTCATGGCCAATGCAGATAAGTTTAGTCATTTTTTTCTGTTGGAATAAATAATTTTTCTTGGAAACAAGAATATTTAGAATTTAAGCTTTGTTAATGGCCTGTGTTTGTTTTTATTACATGAAATTGCCTCATGAAAATTATTTTATATTTATCCCATAATGCCTCTTAGAAATGTAGTTAATGCACGCAATTTAATTTTATGAAAAGTTGACTTCATTTTTTATACAAGATCAATATATATTTATTTTTAAAAGTCTATCATTATTTTAGATTGGCAAGACAAAAGTCC